CGCCGTCTTTTCAAATAGATAAGTCAGTTTGATTTTGGTTAAAACTTTAAACACAAAAGGAATCGAAAAATCCAATGCACTCTTTAGCACTGCTATCTATTGAACACAGCCTCTTTATATATGTTCTTGTTCTGTTTGTAGGTTAATACATGATCACAAGGTATGCACTGAAAGTCTAATCAATTTTTGGGGATCTCAAGGAATAGACTATATCGACAGCTTCGTTGTGTAAAAGGCACACTTTAACTGAAACATGGAAGTGATTATTACAGCCATCATGTGGTTCTTATATCAACAAAAGATTATTCAAGCTTGTAAATTATGGTTGTGTTATTGATAAACAAAAAGTTTAATATAATCTTGTAGCCTTGGTACAGAAAGTTCACTTACTATGTCACAATGATATCATACACATGTCGAAATTGATATATTGCACATACAAAAGGCACCTTAACACAATTAATATCTACATTAAAATCTTTGTAAGAAATCATCTTTAGCAAACTATGTTTTTTTAATAAAGCATTGGCTAATATATACATATGTATGACAGTATCATCAAAATGAAACTACTTTTGTAGTTTTTACATGCAGTGTTGCACTTAATCCAAGCAGTTTGAAGTTCAAATGCAAATATGTCAGAAAAAAATCAAAACTTGAAATGATATCTGACAGATTAATGTCGTATGAACTCTGCAGGATGTTATTTGATAGATTTGTAATACTTTCGATTTCAAGTGTGAAAACAATGGCCTTCTCATGCGTTCTCCTTTGTATAATATTTCTAATTTTCACAATCATTGTTGGTAACCTACGTGAACTTGCCGAATAGGATTACACAACGATGAAATAATTAGAAAAAAAAAACCTTAAAAATACTCACTGATATGTATTTAAAAAAAATAGGTTTGTCAGTAGGACAAGAGTGCCCAAACCTGTAGTTTAATTGTTTAATATATATTTCTGGGAATTCTTGGAAATATGTTAGATGTACCAGGGTTACGCACTTGCAAGACTGAGCTCATTAATCTAAGGAATGATGGCATTATGACAAAACAAAAACAAAGTATTATTTAATTGATAAATGGGAAGAGCCGAACAATCAGAGCGACCAATATTGATCATCAAATAGAATTATAAACCTACAATTTACTTTTAAAGCGGTTAACCGGAATGAAAATCAAATTCGACCTGTAACTGTAAAAATGTACATTCCACATCTTCTTTTTACATACGCTAATGTATCCAAAATTAAATAGTGATTTGCTACATTACACAAAAATTGTAGGAACAAAAGTGGATCAGGCAACGTTACATGATACGATATGCAAACGTGATCTGTAATTCATCATTATCCAATTATGTTCGACAAATAAGATCAGTAACTGTAGGCTGAATGAAAAATGGTCTAATTGAAGTCATCCCCTTCGAAATTTCACGGACGCCATCACGAGTTGGTTGACTGTTAATGACTGTCTGTTTCATGGATGCAACGGATACGTTCCTATTGTTGTAACCATTATCCCGTCATCTTTTCCTCTTTTGTGTCATCACCGAATTAGATTTATCCCCGCGTTGTGCTTACATGATCATGAGCAACACGATAGGGGTCACATGTGGAGCAGGTACCGCTTACCTTTCCGGAGCACCTACGATCACCACCGGTGTTTAGTGGGTTCGTATTGTTCAGTCTTTTAATGCCATGACATTGTCAGTTTGTCATCCACTAAAGACTGAACAACACGAACCCTGCTAAAACTGGGGTGATCTCAAGTACTCCGGAATGGTAAGTAGATTCTGCTCCACATGTGGCACCCGCCTTGTTGCTTATTTGATTACAAAACCGGTGATAAGTCTTATTTGGTAGGTCAGATTCGGGGAATAGATCTACTTAAACGTGATATTGATAATGATTTTTATATTTAAAAGTCTTAAAACGCTCCGCTGCTAGAGGTGAATGAGTTGTTTAGACGGGAATATGATATTAAATGGGGAATATGATGGACAGAGGGGATAATGATGTTTTGTTCAAGGTCATGTGGGATAGTTCCAACCGATGAGATATTTATCTAGCTATTAATACTTACATATTACAGTTGATTGTAAATAGAAGTTACAGAACCAAAGTTTGTGTCAATCAAAATAATACAGATTGTTTTATTTGTATATTCAAATGTTAAGAATGTAAAAAATGTCAATTATAAAACTAATCTGAACACGCCAAATTTCTATGATTCATTTCCAAGCTTTAAACTGCAAACATGTCGAAAATATAATGATGTTTCGTAGAAATTCTTTAAAAAGAGTGTTTTTGAATTAAAAAATAAAGAATCCAAGAATCCAGTATCAAAAAATATTGAACGAGTGACCGACAAACACATTCATTCACCATTATGCGTAGCCCATAAACTAATAAACAATGTTGGTCGGTCACGAGTTGAATATATTTCGACATTTGAATCCTTAGCTTAGCTATTTTTCTCATTACATTGTGCATAATTAGATAAGAAAATGCTTGGAACTTATCTTTTTATACACATTCTTAATCCTTTTTGATGCAACGTCATCGAAACAATGTCTTGACAACTATCATTGTTTTATGACGACAAAGGAGTGTAATTATCGAATTGGCACCCGTCGTGTTGCTCATGTAAGAATAAAACCCGGTGATAAGTCTAATTTAGAAGGAGGACGGCATTGTGGTAACGAAAATTGAAATATATTTGTCGGCATCTGTAAAACAGATATTCCATAACGATCAACCAACTCGTAATGTTGTCCGTAAAATTTTCGAAGGGATGATTCTAACCTCACCCGTTGGAACACTTGTTGTAGTAGTTTCCTTTTGGTGTAGTAGCTTCCTTGTGAGCAGCAAGGAAATCATGATCGGATATGCAAGCTCTGGAATATTGTAACAATATTTTTTTCTTTAGATAAGTGTCAATGTTCAGTATAGTTTAAAAAAAAACCCAAACAAACAAAAAAAAAAAAAAAAAAAAAAACAATAACGACTTAATGTGACGTCCTAAAATATAACTTTAATGTTGACCAGGCAACGGTAGACTGTCCAGGATCTTAATGAAACAAAAACAACTATAGAATAAAATATTTGATCGATTTTTTATCTCAGGATTTATTTACCGAAATCTGCAGGTATGAAATTTAAGCACCATTATCAGTTAAGATAAAAGAGGGACGAAAGATACCAGAGGGACAGTCAAACTCATAGATCGAAAACAAACTGACAACGCCATGGCCAAAAATAAAAAGACAAACAGACAAATAATAGTACAGATGACACAACATAGAAAACTAAAGACTAAGCAACACGAACCCCACCAAAAACTTGGGGTGATCTCAGGTGCTCCGGAAGGGTAAGCAGATCCATAACTTATGTATCTGTACTATTTATAGTGTTTTCTTTTTCCCCACATAATACCTTTTATTTTTTAATTGACTATGTTTAAACAAACATGATATATTTATGTGCTAACATGTTCCATCTATTTTCAAAGCATATGAACATAATTGAGCACATGTAATTATGTACACTTTGTCGTTAAACCTCTCTTATTGAATACAATAAGACAACCCCACAATGTTCTTCTTCTCCTAAATACTGCCAACATTCAACATGATGAATATTCTGGTAAGTTGCGCATGGTACTGTTTGGGTACTGAATGACATAGTGACCACCTTAAACGTTTTGTCTCAAAGTCCATCAAAATAAGAAATGTAATGTTCATATCAACACAAAAGACACTGCATGGCATTGCACATGTTTTGTAAGAAAACAATCTTCAAATTATATACAACACGTTCAATATACTTTAAATAAATGAAATACCCGTGCACACTCATTCCGCATACCGCACATAAATCAATTCATTCTCATAAAAATTGAAAAACTAGTTTTTACGTATAAAAAATATCCTACATATTCGTTTTATGGTCATGAGAATTTACGTTTATAAAGATTCGATTTAAAATTTCGGTAATTGTGGAATATTTATAGGATGAAAATACATCAGGGATATTCAAACTCACAAGTAGACAATAAACAGACAATGCAATGATGGCAAAAAAGGAAAAACGACCAAAAGACAAACAACAGTCTACAAAACACAAAGAAAACTTGAGACTTAACAGATGCGTTTATCGATAATAAATGTCTCTTCAGAAATGGTCGAAGCCCAAATATTTGAAATTCCGAAACCTAAAACAAACGTTTTATTAGTTTTCTTAAATGATTGTTTCACATTTGTCATTTTGGGCCTTTTATAGCCGACTATACGGTATGGGTTTTTCTCATTGTTAGAGTCCTTACAGCTGCCTATAATTGTTTACACCCACTTCATTTTAACTTTGGTGGATAGTTGTCTCATCGACAATCATACCACATCACCTATTTAAGCTAGGTAACCTCATGTTTCAATATGTAATCATTTTCCGTAAAGATGATCTAATACTAACCGACAATTGATATGTCAGTAGGACACGAATGTCTGCAACTGAATACAATTCAAAACAACTTTTCTAAGTTTATTGCCTTATTTTTTATAATAACTATTTTTATACTTTTAATACTATTTTAAAGAATTTTATAAATCTTCTTTTAAATTACACAATCCTCAGTGAGAACGTGACAAGCCTCAACGAGTTCAATGGGAAAGGAATACAATTTCTGATGATACTATCCCGATTGGTATATTTTATCTGTACATTTTATATTATTACCGTTCAGATCCAAATGTGAACATTATTGCTATCATGTAGATAAGCATCTTGAATTCTTAATGAATTTCGTTTGTATCAAATATATTCAAATTTGCTGAATTTCATTTTAAATGCAAAAACACATAGCTGTGAAAAATCTCATTAAAAGCGAAACGTTCAAGTTATTTATAACTCAAAACAAAGCTTTGAAAAAATTCAAATACGGGTCAAGAACGTTGTATGTAAATTTAATGTTAAAATTATATAACTATTCGGTAAGTAAAGCATGACTGATTGCGGTTAATGTGTGTTGCAGGTATAAAAAGGAATCATACATGCGTATATCACAGATTTTGGTACCTCAGGCAGATTACATGTCTATGTCAAATTAAAACTGCAAGGACAAAATTAGGTAAGCGTTTTTTGTTATACAATAATGTTTTAGTTGTTCTTAAATTATCGCGATATCCATTGAACATTGTTTGTAATATGTTTTTCCTGCTTACTGCATTATAAAAGATTATAACAAAAATAGAGTCATCATTAATAATGATTTAATTAATCATAATTTGTCATATCGGTGCCTTTCATAGCTTACTATTGCTCATTGTTAAAAGTTGTTTATATCCTCGTCCTTAGGTCTGTTGTGGATAACTGTCTCATTAACAATCATGCCATCCCCTATTTTGATTATTAAATGAAAACATCCAGACTTGGAACAATGTAAAGTGTATATACTACGTATATTTATTGTGAACGCTTTATCAGCAAAGAAAAACCCTAAATATTGTTTGTTCTTACTTGTTTGTTTGTTGTTTGGTTATGTATTATACCGCTATTTAGAGAGGAGAGATTTTCTTGTACTGATGGATTTGTTCGGTCTTAGGTTCGTTTACTGATTGAGGTTAACAAAGTGAAAGGAAATTAATATATGCAAAATATAGTTGAACTTCGTCATACATAACTTTGTCAACCCCAAATCAGAAACCTCGTTAGTGGTTGTGTTCTGTAATGTCTGAATGATTTTTTTGGGGGGAGAAGAGATTCAGTGGTGATAATTTATATATAATCTATTACTTTTTTTTGGAATCAAGGCGATTCAAAACTTCACTTTATGTATACACACCCGTCTGTTATTGAAGATTGCATGTCTTTTGTGTAATTTGTGTCGTGGGGTTGCTGTCTCAATAACGTTTACCCCATATACGTTAGGTCTTTTTTGGTTTGATCGGCTCTTCAACACTTTTATTAGATTTTAAATATTCAAATAGTTTGGCCTCGAGCATCACTGAAGAGAATCAATTGCCCAAATGCACATCTGGTGCATTACAATTGGTACCGTTTAAGTTATCACATTATAAACATATTTACATTTTGAAAATAGTGATCACTCTTCAACATTGCTGAAACGTTTCTCTCAGAAATATGATTATATGTTGTAGAAAATGATGTACCTAATTAAACAAAAAGGTGGCACTGCGAAAGAGAGACTGGGTGCCAGTATCAAGAGACATGGTGCGATACAGATGCTACTTGGTCTTGGCTGTTTGATTGTAGGTGTTGTTTCAATTGGAATAGACAGAAAACAGTTCGACATACCAGTTAGAGAAGTCTTAGAAGGAGGAAGTAAGTTATAATCACGTGTTTATCTCTGATTGCTAAAATATCTAGGATAACTTTATCACCTTTCATATGACACCAGCGTATCATCATGAATAATAATTAAATGCATTACAGTGATTTTTCAAACATTTGCTTTCACCAACTTATTATGAATTCTGTTAACAGAAAATAGATATAATAAATAATTATTTTTAAGTCAATATGTAAATAATTTATACAGAAGATCGATATTATAATCCACATTAATACATTGAAGTTTCGATAATACATAATATTATCTTTTACAACAAAAATCTTGATATTACTATGTTAATTAAGGAAATGCATTTTATGTCAGGTGATTTTAATGTTCCTTTAATAGGGAAATGCATTTTATGTCAGGTGATTTATGTTCCCTTATTGGAGAAATGCATTTTATGTCAGGTTATTTATTTTCCCTTATTAGTGAAATGCATTTTATGTCAGGTGATTTACGTTCCCCTTTTAGGAAAAAAGAATCTTACTATTAACCGCAATTATTCATGCCTTACTTGTATTCAAATATATTTTGTCGGCTTTTAGGAGTGATAAATGGCACTTCCTTTGACATCAAAAATGTTGTTCTTGGACTAGATGCAGGTGCTGTAGTTTCTGCTTTTTGGGTAAGTTACATGCCGATTGTTTGAATATTGATTGTTAATAGCATAACAAATAATATTCAGATAAGAGATTATTAGTTATTTTGATACTAGTAAAATAAGGGAATTGAAGATTCAATTTATTGATGGTAAGTTATATATTTCCTAGTTTTGAAAATAGCTTATCACCTCTGCGGAGACGTTGATTAGTCCTAATCCTTCTTCGTTGTGCTATAATATGATTTGGAATGAAAAATGACATTGACTCCGGCAGTGGAGACTTCAAGTGTTATGTCTATATAAATGCAAGGAAAGGAGTCATATTTTTGTTAAAGGGGCATTAGCTGTTACAATCATGTTCATCGAGTTGACTCAAATTCTCATATTTCATTTATAACATACTAAAACGTATATCCAAATTACAATAAGTCTGAAATAAACAGTTAACAATACATGTACTCGATAATATTTATCAGAATTTCGTGTGTATTTTAGTCTAGACGCCATCTAATTAACTATCGAGATGACTTTCGAAGACTGCGACGGTCACATAACCCAATATCAACATGAACATGAATATAAATAAATAGCAACCTCGTCCAATTTGATTTTTCTAGGTCTGTTTTATTTCATCTTATAGGTTAAAAAAATTGTTAATTATCGTTTTTACCTGGATAAGAACAATTTTTTGTGGACCGAATCGGTCAGTGAAATGGTTCACTTTTGTTTCACTTTCAATGTTGACATTCCTAATGTCTAATGGCTGACCACGACTAAAACATGCGTAACCAATCTCTAGCTAATGGGCTAAGTTGACGGTCACATGAATACGAATTCAATGAGGTCGAATTATTCACTTGCAAGTGAATAATTCATCAACAATGTCTCTTTGTTTATTTTGACAAAATTGAACCAAATTGGCTGCTAAAAGCGAATTATTATTTCATTATTTAACTTTTATTAATGATTGAACCAACCTAAATAATTTTTTTCATATCTTGTAGCTAATGTTTTACTAAGAACTGGTGCAATCGTTCACTTATTTTTATGCGTAAACGATGCTTGTGTTTTAAAGGCTAGTCTCACAAACGTATCATTGATTCAAATGAGTTGTGGTGCTAAATGGCGCAGATTTTCCGCAAACAATATTTCCTGATCAGATTGCATTGAAGTCCATTTTGTTTTGTAAAATTTAAGTTTGTAACATTTTATAAGAGTTGGTTAATTGCAGATGATATCTTTACATTTTACTTTGACATATCTCATAAGTACACAGTTCACTGACCGAAAGAAGAGGATATGATTCCATTATCACTTATTTGTAAGTTTTAGAAAACAATATCTAAAATTGATGCAAGTTTCACATTTATGTAACAAAATTCATTACCAAGAGGTTCCTCATTTTCCTGCTAACATGTTTCTTTATTGATTAGTTATTTTAACTAACGCTAAAAAAAGACATTTGTGTGATTTATCACTACTTGTCTAATGTCTCGGTCAAGGGTCGAGAACCTGAATTTAAAATGGACTCTTTATCTTTACCTTCCGAAACGTTTGTACCCGAGGAAGGTTATTCTAGAAAGAAGTGTTGTGCGCATTGGAATCAGTATCACATATGCATGTGAATATTTACACATATTAGTATTATGTTTGCATTTTTGACTATGTTGTTTCGTTTATCAATTCTACTTTCTATTTCATTCCAGGTCCTGATCACAGGAGCAGTTCCAGCTTATATGGCTAGGAATACTGATTACAATTTGATTAAAACGGTAATATATTATTCTACTGACACATTTTACAATCTCAAAAGCTGACAAATATTAACATAAATACTTTCATTGTATATATTTGCCTTCTATAAATATTAGGCAAGAAAGTGTGTCTTAGTAATATTTTTCCTAAAAAAGCGCTTGCAACTGATATGTTTGCTGTGAGTTTGGCATTGCTTAACAAAACAAAATAACACATCATAATGACTATTCATTACGGTGCAAAGTATTATATGTTTTGTTTTTTTAATTAAACTAAATTAAATACCATATATATATATATTTCTTTTAGAAAGTGGTTTTCATGGTATTCAGCATAATGGCAGCATCACTGTTTGTACCTATCATAACCGGAGCTGCGATTGCCACCTACGTGCTCGTAAGTTATATTCAGTCCAGTCCAAACAGCCTTTCTTGCTTTCTTTATATAAATAAACAGTATAACTTGGCAATTAAACTAGGAAAAGACAAGATAGCACAGCGATTCATAATGCCACACAGAAGCAGTGATAAGGTATCAATTTGATGACAGAAAAATAAACGCAATTAAAATTTCCTTCCAAATCCATAGCAAAAAAACATCTTCTGAAAGTGTAGCTGCATCTGGAATTTGAAATAATGACACTTTTTCTGTTTTATCAAAAGTAATTGCTATTCTTAAAACAAGAGACAAGATTAAATATTTATTTATTACTTCAATGTAAGTCAGATAACGCTAACGTCCTTCGGATATTAAAAGCTTACATCTAATACTAAGATGATAAGTATCTACCTAAATCAAGTTTAAGTGATGCACTATCTTATATCAGAAAACGATCTATTTAAAAACAATTTGGATTTATAAATCATTAATGTTATTTCTTTCAGCGTAAAAGTCACATGGGATTGACTGTTGCTTTAGGTGTGATGTCCCTTCTAGAATTTATAGTTGCCATTCAATCATCGGTCTACTGCTGCTCATCGCCTTGGGCTGCTTGCAAGATGGAAGTATGTTTATTATGATAAAACTCAAAGTCATTTATCGCCATCGGTTCAAAAGAAATGGCATGATAAGGCAAATTTTGTTTACCCAATTCAGAAATCAATAAGCGTCATAAATAAATCAAATAACAACATTTAGATGCTCATAAAACATTTTTTTTATATGAGATCAGTGTTTATATTTCTGAATTTTATCTAACATAATTTTTAATGGGACTTAAAACTACGTGTGATTAATTAATGCAAAATTGCCAAAAACCAAAATAGCCTCTGTCACTGTAAGTACATGTAATTACTATTTAGACAAGAGCCGAGATTTTGGCCAAACAATATGACTTATTTGAAGATGAAAATATGACCATGATATATTGTTTAGGAAAAGCGTTGTTTCATATTTATATTGAGCAAGACATATTCGTAACATGGCCATTTTAGGTAAATTACAAGTGTTGTTTATGAAATCATCAATCACGTATCTGCACTAATATGTACAGAGTACATCATTTTATTAGTTTAGGCGAAAAATAACAAAGGATCATTCAAAACTCATTAGTCGAAAACAAACTGACAATGCCATTGCAACTTGAACCCAATCAGAAACCGGGGCTGATATCAGGTGCTGCGGAAGGTTATGAAGATCCTGCTCCACATGCGACACCCTTCGTGTTATTCCTGTAAAACACGTTGATAAGTTATATCAAGTCATTAGGCATCGCACATTAACGGGTTGCTTAAACATCTTAAATGCACACAGGTACAAACATCTAACGAAACATTTAAAATGCATGTAAAATGTATGATTTGTATTCATCAGAATTCAAAACGAAACAACTTTATACTTTCAATCAACACAATCGTTATGGCAAACTTTTTGAACTTAGATTTGTTTGATATCAAACAATAGTGTAGTGACTTGTTTTGCTTACTAGTATGTCACTTCATGCACACATGATATGTCAGACAACAAATTTACAATTTTTTTCTTCTCATTTACCATTCGTTTTTCTATCTATTCAGAAAAGGGATAAAGAAAAGAAAGACATGGAAAATGAAATCTACGAAAAACAGATGTCCAAAGAACAGCTACCGGAATACACCCCATAGATACCTTATTTTAACCTAGAGGACTGCATGAAGATTACACAAAATCCCAACAATCAAGTTTTACGCTTTGAATTTTATATGCCTGTCATTGTCTATGCCTGTCATCGTAATATTTTGTATGCTAGCAGCACTATATCGAATGAAAATATGATATATATAAAAATATATATGCATTATGTATACAAATTTTTTTTAATGATCCAAGAACTGTAAATTGTGAATCTTGACGATTTTGTGAAACATAACAGCATTGAAAGGATCGATGCTGCTGTTCCAATAGTAATAAAAACAAAATAATATTGCGTTTGATGAAAAAACAGTTTGGCTGACTAAAAAAATCCAGCATTATAATAAAAATCCTAATATGAATTCAGTCTGGGACCTTAGATATTAAATTTAAATGCCGCAGAACAAGCATGCATATGTATGGCCAATTAAAATTAATTGATAGATTTTCATCCCCGCCCGCCCCTCTGAAATCGTCCCGATTTTTTTTATTTTTAAAAATTTACGATTTCCGGATTTTGTTCATTTCCGTTACCGGAAACCACCGATAATTTCGTTTCGTTCATAACTTCCTGTAGCAAATTTCGGTTTTCGTATTTCTTCCGAGTAATTTAACCAAAATGATTAAGTCGAAATATTCTGCTGCTCTATGATGACAGCATTATCTTCCGAGAAGAGAGATTGCTTACGAGAAGGGCATGAAATATTCGGGTTACGAGTGACAGGCGGTGTCCAAGAACGCAAATCGCGGTCAGTGATTAGAAACCTGTGGATTTTTTTATTTATACAATGACTTTGTGTCAGGAAATTTGGACTGTGAATGATATCCAAAGCACAAGAATCGTGGAATACATTGCTGCAATAAAAAACATGACTGGGATAAAGAAATTGACACAAGCACGAACTTGTGCGATCTAAGACCATATATTGAGTACAAAAAAGTCTGCCAATGTAATGCTATGTCTTAAAACTTTTCCAGATACACAGGGTTATCTGTACTCGGGAATAAATTTTGAGGTGAAAATGCAGCCATTGTAGCCAAAGGGTCCACATGAACCTTAAAAGCATAAACCATAGTATTTGCAACATAGTTTGAGTTTTAATTTCACTCTGTACTCATAATACTTGTAATGGGCACTACAAAGTACTACTTAGAAAGCAAAATAAATTTGATGTAGGTAGTCTAAAAGAGAACATTTCTCCACCTTTTTGCTATTTACTAAAAATTGGTTTCTAAAGTGGCAATCACATGTAGAACAGTGGTTGCCAATCCGAAATCTTTATTAAGAATTTGAAAAATTATGTAGAATTCCTTATATATACATGATATAAGCTTAATATTACCCTTGCATATGAACAGTCTGATTGAAACCAGCCCCCAATATCTACAAAGGCAAATGGAAAGTGGGGGCTGGTTTTAATTAGACTGGCATATGAAGAACACGTCACAAAAGGGTTTCGGAGGAAATAAAAATTAAAAAATAAAATCCTCCCACCCGCCCCATTTTTTTCAAAAATTTGGATGAAAATCTACTAATTAATTTTAGTTGGCCTATGCAGAAATTGGGTATATAATTATTGAGATTTTCCCCATTTCCAGCATATATGTATACCATCAGTAAACATATTTTGAATTAAAAGACTACACTTTTGATATACATTAATTTTTTTCAGTAATCCAACATATCTTGAAAGAGTACAAGTAGCATTTATATATAATAGAGGAAAATTGGTAAATACAATCTTCATTCAAAATCTGGTCTGACATCAGATGCCCCTGAACGGTTCAGATTTTCTGCGTCACATGGAACAGCCGTCATATTGCGCAGAGATAATGCTGATAATGGTTCAATGGTTCAAACTTAGTAGGTCACAATATTGTTGAAAGGAAGAAAAGTCCACAGCAAATAATGACTACTAAAAATTTAGTAAGCAAAGTTCTACAATTTTGGAATAAAGGATCAACCAAAACGTTTATTCGTATCAACATTATAACAACACGTCAATATTCATGGTATCTTGTATCTTGTAGCTTGTATTGTTTTCATTATATTATGTTTTTGTAACTTCATTTTTATACATCTACTTGCTTTTTGTAATAAATTTGAAATTGAACAATATTACAAACCATAAATATCAGATTTTGAAACGTAGTCCGGCATTCATTAGAGTACATTTTGTATCATACATTGTCTCATTGAGATGACACCTGATTAAAAAGTCGAATGCTGCAGATGCTCATCTTTTACAGCTCATGAAGTTTATTCTTGGTTTCGCATAGACCCCCCCCCCCCCCCCCCCCTTCCGCCCGGAAGTCTTAAAACTCAGACGTGAATGCGGCTGTGACAAAAATATTTTATGATTACTTTTTGATTGCATTATGTTTAAGTGTCAAAATCCGATGGTGAGACTTGGATATAGAAATATTGAACATTGACTCCTACCTTGTTAGATGAAAAAAAAAGGTTTAAAATATCTACATTTTTGATCAATTTTAGCATTAGTACTTCTTAGATCTGTATTTTTTGAGCTGCAATAGAACCTTATTCGCGCATACAAAATTATGCATTATCGTCATACGCTGGGGCCCATACAAAAACATTGAATTCTTTACTTTCCAGTTTGTTCCTTCTTTGATCTGGCCCGATTTGGTAATATTACATCTTACAAAGTCTATCCGAATCATTTGGCAAACAATTCCGCTCAAATCGATGCTAGGGGCCGACTTGCAGTGAGGTGAGAGGTTTTTTTTTGCGTGTTGAACGCCTCACTGTGACTTTGAGATGAAGAACAGCAATAAAAGCACTGTTACTTTGTTTTTTGTGTGTTTTTTCTGTGCATGTACTGATCATGATTATGTGTCATAGATGGATATCCCATATCCTTTTTTTCTATTATCGATACCCTTTTCATAAGAACAGGTACAATGATTATCGTTTTAATGCAATATAAAAAGTTTAAATTAAATTATTATACATCTAAGACGTCTTATTTAGTAAGTAGCAATTAATTTAATGACAATTTTCTTAATGTTAGGGTTTTTATGTTGCAAATAGAAGAGAAAAGTATAAGAGAGAGGCGAAAGATACATAAGGGATATTAAAACTCATGAAACGAAAACAAACTGATAATGCCATAAAAAAAAACCCAAAAACAACAGTACACAAAATACAACATAGAAACATCTTACGACTGAGCAACACGAACCCCACCAAAAGCGGAAAGGGGGGGGGGGGGGGGGGGGGGTGTTAGATTTCAGGTGCTCCGGAAGGGTAAGCAGATCCTGTTCCACATGTGTCACCCGTTGTGTTGTAAGAACAAACCCGGTATGTTAGGCGATGCATTGATTCAAAAACAACTGGATTCTTAATCTTTGTATGATATTAGATTTTAAATAACACATGTATAACTGATGACTATGTCTTAAATAGTATTTTTTTCAATTAAGAATCTGACAGAAACATGATTCTAAATATGTAACAATTGTAAATATAAATTATAAATGATTTAAAATTGTGTTCCGGAGTTGTGAAATATCGAGCTTATTTACTTGAAAAAAATATGCATATTTAAAAGCATATTATTAGTTTGAAGTTTTCACAACTTGTTAAATAGATGAAAAGTAGGACAGGATGAATAAAATTAAAAGTCTCATAATGTATTACATAACAAGTATCAAGGAGTCTGTAATATCCAAGGTCACGTTAGGAAGACAATAAATTATCTTAATATGTCTGGGTTTTACATCTATCGGAATTTTAAATGACTGAACTAAAGAGATGATATCTATTCATCTACAAATGTATTTTAAAATGTTCTGACACAATGCTACATGAATTTTAATTGCCTTTGAGACCACCCCAAAGTCTTTAATTAATTATTACATTATTTAGCTGACGACATCGTTCGCTAAGCTATGTATGTTACAAATACGAATAAAAAAAGCTACAAAATGATTTCCTGGTGAACGACACCCGTTTTTGAGGTAACATTTATCAGGAACATTTGAACGCTCGCGAAAAATATTTCGGAAAGTTAACATAAAACACATTTGAATTGTTTTACAATTGTCATTTTGGGGCCTTTTATAGCTTGCTATGCGGTATGGGTGTTGCTCATTGTCGAAGGCTGAACAGTAACATATGACTGCTAACTTTTACGTTATTTGATCTTTGATGGAGAGTTGTCTCATTGGCAATCAATACACATCTTATTATTTTATACTACATGTAACAACAAAGGTAAGAATATTTGCATAACAGACACTATTGTTTAAACAGTGTGTTTGATAATTATGGAGTTTTACGATTTTTAACTAATTTCAAACTTACAAAATGCAGTTCACAGCTATCTGGTTTATATGTAAATTAAACCTACAAAAACATTATTTCGATTTATATATAATCCCGCCTATCTATATTCATCAACCAATTAGTTTTTCAGATCTGTAAAATGCATTTGAAAATTGTTAGTTCTCAGAGACCATTTTCGGGAATAACCTCCATTATGAAATGACGTACCCGAGGAACTCTGAAATACTGAAAGGTACTGTCGACATTTTCTTGAAGATATTAAAATATCTGTTATTTGTTTTCTTACTTGAATTAGTTAAGACATTGATGTCCTTTCATCGATGTGTTTAAAATATGCTAATGGGAGTCACCCACGGCTATATTACATTTTGCTTCCTGTTAGCATGGAAAGTTAATTTTGGCTTTATAGTTTTTCTTGTATGCAACAGTTATTTCATTATATCAACAGTTCAAACCACATAAAACACTCTGTATAAAAACATGTTATAATATGAAGAAAATATTTAGATTGATTGGGTAACATTTAGGTGTTTTAAACACCATTTGTACTGTTTAATTACAGGCAATGATTTTAAAGGAACATAATCAATCAATTTATATCCACTGGATTGATTCAAATTCGCAAATACAGTACTATAAGGCCGATGTTCTTAGTTCTATTTGATCTCATTTCAAATTAAGAAATTAGAGATTAAATGTAAATCATTTACTCCTAACTTTCTGTGCTGTCGTAAATACATGGGAGGTGTCCGTCGTTATTCTGCGGTTTACATATTGTAATGTACTACTATATTAATAATTTATGTATTTCTCTGTGCTGAGTGTTCTTGCGTTTGTTTGTACTGTATTCCTGTCACGTAGTATTGTCATCTTAGCGGTATTTTTCAACATTGCCATATAGGCGGGAGGATTGGCTATCCATAAAACCAGGTCCAACCCACT